CCAACCACTTAATTAAACCAAGCAGACACACTAAAGTGAGCAGATACTAACTGTTGCAGGGGGGGGGGGGGATTATGAGCAGCAGGACTGAACACACCCTGAAGGAAAAAGTGAAAGAGTTGCTCCAAGCAGCTTGAACAATACTGCTAAATAACGAAGCAGGAGGATGGGGGGGGGGGAAGCTCTCCAAGACAGATAGGGATCTTTAATTTAAAGCAGAGTAAGCTTATTCATGGGAAAAGAGCGGCAAAACACCCCAGGGACTGAGCACTGCACTCTGGCAATTAAAATTGCATTAAAAACCAGATAGGGAAGTCGGAATCCTAAAACAGATGGGCACAGAAGAATGTGTTGTCCTTATTTGTTTCAATATATTTACCTTTTGGGCAGTAGAGATAGTCGCTGATTAATTTTCTTTCTGGGTGCTTCGTCTACAACTTCATTGTTCCTGTTTGTAAAGTCATTCTCTTCAGTCTGCTCCTAAAGGAGGCAGACTGCAAAGACTGTATTATGCGGGCAACAAAATGGCCTGACACTGATGGAACAGGGTGGTTTTAGTATTCAGATACAAGGGGGAGAAAAGGACATATTGTATTGAAAAACCACTAGACAATCCCTAATTATTTTGCTTTGGGAACTGAGGGTGTTTTAAAGAAAAAGCCCCGTCCACCTCACAAAATGAACCCTCTGCACCAGTCAAAGGGTAATAAACACATTGTGAGGCATACAGCAGGTCTCTCGATGACACGGCATGACTCCAGCAGAGTGGTATTCAGGGTAAGCCAAATGGCTTCCAAGCAGGGATGTACATTAAGGGGCTGCGAACAAAATGCCTTTGGAGGCTCATTGCAATTTCAACCCAGGTGAAAATGTGGTTTATTATTAACATTTCTTTTGCAGTTCCCATGGGTCTCCTATACAGGCCCTATACAGGCCCACACCTGCTTAGCTTCAAGGCAAGTTGCTCCATCATTATGCTTTCAGACCATGTAATGGATCTGTTACGAAATCCACTACTTAACAGCTTGCTCCTTTTGCTGGTGCCTTCATTCTGATACCTCAAAGCCGGGTCACAAAGGAAGTTGTAGGCCGGAGCAAGTATTCTGTGCAAGTGGTATTCACTCAAGTGATATGAATTTGCTCTGTGACCTAGAAGAGACCAACCACTATGGGATCTTGAAGAGACTATGATAGATGTGGAAATAATCACAGTTCTGGTTTAGTCACATACTCTTCCCAATAGCAGTTGTTCTCCATCTGGATGGGTAATAACCTTCCCACACTGGGCTGTGACCAATGTGCTGCTAGGGGGTAAGGGTCCATATTATTGCCCATCCATCCCAGCCCTTCAAGGATCATGAGACTGTTTGCTGATGCTGCTACTATGCTGTTTTTTTATTGAAGGTAGGCAAGGTTACTCCGCACGGTCCTTCTTTGGGCCCCGGCAGGCCTGAGCCTTCTTGGGGGCCTCCAGGAGCAAGGCTTGCTGCCCTTCAAAGGTCTCTTCTGTCCTGTGCCTTGAGGCAGGGATCTTCCTACCAGCCTGCTTGCTCCCTTCTGCCATTTCCCTTGCCTCCTCTCCCTTCCTCCTCCAAGGCCTTTCCCCTCTCCTACCCCAACAACCAGGGCTGAGCCCATGCAGGTGCAAAGGTGAGGCCGTCTAGGTCCCTTCCTGGCCAGGCCTGCCACTCTACCAGGCCAGGTGGGCTGGGTCTCCTCTTGGGTCCACTGGCGAGCTAATCACCAGGCCTGCTGTGCTGCTGGGCACAGCCCTTCCTGCCACTGTTCTAGATGAGCAAGCAATGGGGGTGCCAGCATTGACTTCCTCTCCCACAGCCCACTCAGCCATGCACTGTCTCCAGGCCCCTTCACTAGAATCTTTGCCCTCCACCCCTGGTCTGGGTGAGTGGCTGTGGGTTGGACTAGGCTTCACAGTGGGCCACTGGTGGGGGAAAAAAAGGCTTCCAGGTGGTCTCAGCTGTCTGTATCAGGTTTGTGCCTTTTGAATTCACTGTTCTCTTCATGATAGGAACCTTTGGAAAGAACATCTAGCTTATTCTCCATCCCAGATTCAGTTGGGAAGCTCTGGCCTTCAGCCAGAACTTGCCTGATGGTCATGTTGATGCGGGATCCTTGCAAATATTGGGCACAGACTTGCCAATCATCTTGGGAGCAGGGCTCAATAACTGAGTCTGCAGGAAGGTCAGCAGGGAGAGGCAACTCCAGGCAAGAAGGCAGAGGTTTCCCCTCGGGATTGGGCAGAACTCTGGGAACTGCATGGTATAGCAGGCGGCTGAAGCCAGACATGACCATCATGTCCCCACTGTGTATAAACATGGCCACGGGGGCTTCATCTCGTTTCAGTCCCCCCAACAAAAATATGGATGGTTGTCCGAAACTGGAGGGGAAAAAGAAGAGAGAGGATAAAAATGAGTTAGCAAAGTTGTAGCTACATGAAAATATAAGACTTATCAATATTATTCCTTTTAATATATTAGAGAGAAATTCAGTTACTGCCATGTGTATGTCATGTCAGTTCTTATTTTTGCAATATATTATTTTTGTATAATTTTAAGAGAGCAAAGCACTTTCCATTACTTGGTCATTTTCATATTCAGCCCTAAAACAACCAAAAGTAAAGTCCTGGGTGGTTTGAATGGCTGAGTCCAAGTCACTCTCAGGGCTAAACCACATATAACACCTAGCCACATGAAGCCTGTGCCAGATGTTTTATCTGTGATGAAATGTAGCCACAGAAGCTATAATCTAAAGCATAAAACTAGCATGTGTATGTGGGATGGGGGGCATATTAACCCTTCCTTCTCTGGAAGTTTCTTCACTGAAAATCACTCCTCCAAGCGGATTCGTCCAAAGGAAAAGTATTACTCTAAAAGATTAAGATGTCCCTCCCAACACCCTGTACTAGTCTTCTATTTTAGATTGTAGCCTCTATGCATCAAGCAAAAGAAAAAGAGAGTTTGCCTCTTACTATACAGACAAACAACCCAGTTCAACAGAAAATGGCAGGATAAAGGTCAGTAAAGTGCAGTGGCGAGGGTCCCATATTTCTCCATGTGACCTAACCTGCCTCACTGGAGTAGGGGATATACACAGATAAAGGCTGCTATTCTGGTTAAAGAGAAAGTGCTAAAGCAGGATTACAGCTTAACATCAAGATGACAAAAGTAATGACTGCTGGGGAATCACACAACTTTAATGCTGATGGTGATATTCTATTCCTTGGCTCCATCATCAACCAGAAGGGTGACTGCACCCAAGAAATCAGAAGGAGATTGAGTCTGGGAAGAGCAGCCATGAAGGAACCAGAAAAGATTCTTAAGTCTAAGGATCTGTTCCTGGAGACCAAGATCAAGTCAAATCACGCCATAGTATTCCCCATTACTATGTATGGGTGTGAAAATTGGACAACGAAGAAAGCTGACAGAAAGAAAGCTGATTCATTTGAAACGTGGTGTTGGAGGAGAGTTTGACAGATACCTAGATCAGATTGAGACTGTACTTTCCCTAGAAGATAAAATGACTAAACTGAGGCTATCATACTTTGGTCACGTTATGAGAAGACAATAATGCTAGGAAAAGAGAAAGGCTCAACATGAAATGGATTGACTAAATAAAGCCACAGCCCTTAGTTTGCAAGACCCGAGCAAGGTTGTTGACAATAGGACATTTTGGAGGACTTTGATTCATAGGGTTGCCATGAGTTGGAGGCGACTTGACAGCACTTAACATACACAAACACATTCTGGCTCTCAGATCACAAGCTAAACATGAGCCTGCAGTGCGATGTGGCTGTGAAGAAAGCTAATGCAATCTTAGGATGCATTAACAGAAGCATTGTGTCCAGATCAAGGGAGGTGGTAGTTCCGCTCTATTCTGCTATGGTCAGGACTCACCTGGAGTACTGTTCCAGTTTTGGGCACCACATTTTAGGAAGGATGTTGACAAGCTCGAGTGTGTCCAGAAGAGGGCAACCAGGATGGTGAGAGGGTTGGAATCCAAGTCTTATGAGGAAAGGCTGAAAGAGTTGGGTATGTTTGGCCTGGGAAAGAGAAGGCTTAGAGGGGACATGATTGCAGTCTTCAAGTATTTGAAGGGCTGTCATGTAGAAGATGGAGCAGATCTATTCTCTCTTGCTCCGGATTGCAAGACTCGATCTAATGGGTGGAAATTACAAGGGAGTCGTTACCGGCTAAATATAAGGAGAAACTTCCTAACTGTAAGAATGGTTGAGCAGTGGAACAGTCTGCCTCGGGAGGTGGTGGATGCTCCTTCGCTGTACGTTTTCAAGTGGCGGCTGGACGACCATCTTTCAGGTATGTTGTAGGTATGTAGGGCTATCTTTCAGTATACTCCTGCAGAGTGCAGGGGGTTGGACTAGATGACCTGCAAGGTCCCTTCCAACTCTAACATTCTATGATTCTATGACACTGATATCCAGACATTCTGCAACTCTGGGCTGCTGCCCATAGTTTTGAATTCATTGGGTTAGATCCAGCTAGCTTTTGCACTTGATCTGACCCAGTTCCCCTTCTTGTGTGTGACTGCAATAAAAAAGGCCAATGCTAAGCTGGGGATTATTAGGAAGGGTATTGAAAACAGATCAGCCAATATCATAATGCCCCTGTATAAATCAATGGTGTGACCTCATTTGGAATACTGTGTACAGTTCTTGTCACCACACCTTAAAAAGGATATTATAGCATTGGAAAAAGTGCAGAAAAGGGCAACTAGGATGATAAAAGGGTTGGAACACTTTCCCTATGAGGAAATGTTAAAGCACTTGGGGCTCTTTAGCTTGGAGAAACAACAGCTGAGGGGTGACATGATCGAGGTTTATAAGATTATGCCTGGGATACAGCAGGTAGAGAAAGAGGTACTTTTCTCCCTTTCTCATAATACGAGAACTCATGGGCACTCCATGAAATTGCTGAGCGGTCGGGTTAGAACAGATAAAAGGAAGTACTTCTTCACCCAAAGAGTGATTAACACATGGAATTCACTGCCACAGGAGGTGGCGGCGGCTACAAGCATGGATAGCTTCAAGAGGGAATTAGATAAGCATATGGAGCAGAGGTCCATCCGGGGCAAGTGATGCTCTGTATTTTTGGTGCTGGGGCTCCTAGAGTCCTGGTCCCACTGCTGGACCTCCTGATATCACCTGGTATTTTTGGCCACTGTGTGACAGAGTGTTGGACTGGATTGGCTGTTGGCCTGATCCAACATTGGCTTCTCTTATGTTCTTACTACAGCCTCGTCCCACATGGTTTTTGTATATACAGGCCCCACTATAGCCTTTCTTTGGTGGTCAAACAAGACTCCCTCCATATTTTTTCACTAGTCAAAAAACTGGTTGGATCTAACCCGGCATTTGATTAACAATTTATGTGTCCAAAAGTGAAAAGTTTACATTTCCCACAAAAAAGTTTAGCCTTCTACAACTTAAAAAGAAATGTGCCTTGGACGGAAGATAAACAGGTATGCCTTATCTTTTACAGTGCACAAAATCCTTTGTATAGCTCACCTGAATGACAGGAGAGGTTGAGAATGGTCCAGCTCTGACTCATCCACATGAATCCCCAGAGAAGAATCAAAGTGGTAATAATTCAGGATCCCTGCTTCTGCTTGGAAGCCTGGAAACCCACAAGCTTTAGCCACTTGCTTCGAAAGGAAAGCCAGGTCAGATGGAAAGGGAGTACAGTGATCAGCTGAATATTTCTGGGGAAGGGAAATAGGAAGGAAATCACTGAGGAAAGCCTGCCTACAAATACATCCAACAGTCACTCAAAAGGGATGACCTCAAGGGACTTAAAGGGCAACATTTTGCAGACAACGTTTGAAATTCTTAACCCTTCTCCAAGGCTAGCCAAAAATTAAGTGGTGTCCAATGTATTTGGATCTGCAGAAACACCTGTGTGAAATATACGTACTCTGGTGACTGAATTTCTACTGTGTGAACAAGCAGGCTAGTCAGCACTAGCTGTTGTGCTAGTGATTTGAACGATGTCACAAAAGCAAAAGATGCTCAGTATGTTGTACAGGGCAGTTAATGAACCGTTTTTAGACTAGGAAAAGTTTATCATTATATTACCTTTTTCCACAGTCTTTTCCATCTGTCTGTAAGCACAACTATCCCTCAGCTATAATCCTGCTGCACTAGATGTGTCTGATGAGAAGATTGGGATTGAATAGCTTGGGTTTCTTATTACAGCCATACAATAAGCAGCTCATCCTGTTCCAGTAAGGTGCAACTCATTTGGTTAAGCATGTCTGCATTATGCTGATAGACAAGGCTTCCTCACTCTACCTCAGGTTTGCAATCTGATTAGAAAGGCTATTCTGGCTTCAAATAGCTTCAGGAGTCCACAATGACTGCAGCAAGAAGACTGGACTGTGGGCTTTAGGCTTAAAGTCCCAAACCATGCCAAGAACACAGTCAAACAATACCAGCTATCTCATTCACTGAGAGTTACACATTGCTAAGAGGATCTGTTGGCCAATATACAGTAACCTGTCTCCCTCAAATACCTTGGTATTCCAGTTATAATGGTATCCCAAAGTCACCCAGCGCAGCTTCTCCAGTAAACTTTTTGGCTCTCGTTTGCTGGAACTTTTGTTTCTAGAAAGATTTAAAACAAAATGTCAACAAAAGCAGTTTTGTTATGAGACATGCTCTGAAAGCGCTTCCTACAGAAATTACAGTTCCTTAAACAGTTCAGACCCCATTTATGAAAAGCCTGGTTCCTGTAATTTGTACAAATGGTAGTGAAATAACAATCTATTCTACATTTTCAGGGATGGATCTGTTGATGAAAATGTGACAAGGGGGAATGCAGAATCCGTTTCAGAGGAAAACTGGAAGGACTAAATATTGACAACCACAGCTAAAGGAAGAGGGGCATAGTCAAATGTAAAACTTCTCGAGTACAGTGAACAAAACAACCCGGAATTTATTTAAGGCAATTCACAGAATTTAGTTAGGAAGAGTGGGGCAGAACTATGAAAGGAAAATTAACAGGCAGAAGCTGAACCAGATTTCCTTCCGCTTCCAGGTGAAGCAGAAGAAACTGCTACTAGGTGCATGGGGATATCTGTGCATAGAGTCAAAGCTAAATCCAGACAAAACAAGATGATGATAGGGACAGACACTGTAGAAATGGGAAATATCTGTTCTAGATGGAACTACACTCTTCCTAAAGGATCAGGATTTTTTATTTGGGGACCCTCTTGGTTCCAAACATTGCTTTTGAAATCCCAGATAGTGGCTGTGACCAGAATACTTTCGGCAGATTTGTCAGTTTTGCCTACTATTATAAGAGAGATGAATAACTTGATAACTTTCCAATTAGAGTGTTGCGATCTGCTTTGCGATCTGCTTTGTGCAGGTCTACTCTAAGTGTTTGAAAACTTCAGCTGATACAAAATTCTGCCACCTGCCAGCGTCAGGCATAAGAGAGTCCTTAATAACAGTGCTCCAGGAACTTCACTCACTGCCAGAGCTTGCAAGGCTGATACAAAGTGCAGGTTTCGACCTTTAACACATGAAACAATCTAAGCCCAGAATACCTGAGCAAGTATCTATTCCCATAAACACTTCCCATCTCTTAAGATCTGCTGATGAAGCTCCCCAGGAAATTATCACAGGTAGACAAAAGGCTGACATCCACCAGATGCAGGGCCTTGTCAGTACTTTCAGTAGCTTTTAAATTCTTTCCCTTTGGAGGATTGCCAGTCTTCTCCATTACCCTTATTTAGGAGGCAGGTGAAGACTTGTTTATTCCACAAGTTCCCTGATGGCTTTTATTGGAAGTCTGATCTGAATCCTGATGCAGATTAGATTATACATTTTTCCTGTTGTTTACAATTTTATTAACCACTCTGAACATTGTACAAGTAGAATAAAATAGTGAACATACATACACAATTTCCAAGTCTGGGAAATGTATAAATCTGTAATAAGATCCAAGCAGTAGCTGACAATTTTGTTCAGAAAACATCCTATGGATAATAAAGTAGATCTTACAGATGAAAAGAAATATGGTCTGTCTTGAAACATCTATGAATCTGGAATAACTGACACCTATTCTACGGTATGGTTCTCATAAAACAGAACAGCAAATATGTACCAGAATTCATGGTATGGCTAGCATGTGAGATCATACCAGTAATATAACATATACAATTAATCTCAATTACTTTTGTGCACTGATATATTAGCTTCCCAGCCACTGCCAGATTGGAGGAGGGATGATGCTAAAACACAAATGAGCCTGGAGAACAGGTAAAGTCTGCATAGAATTTGGCACTCAGTAAGCTGAAACCATTACGTTAGCGCCAACAGTCAATGTGCCTGTCTATATTGCAGGTTTCTCCAGAACACCTAATTCTAAATTTTTATTTTTTACTGTGCTGCTCCCTGGAAGATTTTAATGTTTTCATGCAATTTCACAAGTCAGTGTTGTGGAGTGGATCTGATATTCCACACTGTTGAGAACAGGAGCAGCAGAGAGAAGTGAAAGTCAAAACAGAAGACCACTGGCAAAGTGTTAGAAAAAAAATACAGAGTTTTACAGGTCTGGTAGTAGGATGCCCATAATTAGAATGACAGGGAGTGCAGCAGAGCAAAACTGAGATGTGTCTGCAGAACCCTGCTACTTTGGACTTCTGCAGTTACCAAAAATGTGGGTTCTAAGTCAGAAATTCCTGGGTAAAAAGGCACAAGGCAGCCTGAACCAGGCCTGGAAGCCCCTAATCCTACTTCATGAGTTTTAAGAGGTAGTCAATTAATTGGCATTTAAAAGCACTGCTGTAAGTACCAAGAGATGTTTAACAGCTCATTCGGGAGCCTGCAGAGTCTGCATCTTCCTGCTGGCATCACCTTCCTTTTCACTAACAAATTAAGTGCTAAAACATCTTCTGCCCACTGTAAACATTGACAGTTTGTCAGATGGATTTGCTTACAGCTATATTTACTAAGACATAGAACTGAACACACTACCAAACATGGAAACAGAATTATTTCTGTTCCCTCTCCCTGTCATCCAACAGGATTTCCCCATGCTTAACAGACTAACCTAAAAATCTGGAAATATTAATTGTGCCCGGTTTTAATCATACACCTTCCTCAATTCCAGTTTCTTCTCAGTTCCTTTCGTGAGTCTAAACTTGATAGTTGGCTGCTGGCTCACTTCTGATAGAAGTTGTCCATGCAGCACTTTGTCCCTGCACACTTTCAGGAAGCGCTTAATGAAACTGCCATCATTTCTCTCAGCTATCTCACTCTGCAGCACTGCTTTAATCGGAATGGGAAGCAGCTGTGTATTAAATTCTATCCTGCACGGTTGCAGCAGATGAATGCCAAGCTGGACTATACCAGCCACAGTACCTAATCTACAGAGTGTGTTTGCTCACCTGGTTTCTATGGTCAATTTTTACTCTGGACAATCTGGACAGCAAGGAAGGGCTCGTGCTACTGGAGCTTTAGTTAGCAAGGAACTGGGGACAAGCAACTCACCTCCTCCCCTCTCCCTAACAGCTCTGATACTACAGCAGCCAAAGGGGAGTTACAACTTGGGAAGCATCAACAATAGCAAAGGCATTATCCAAATCTGATTATCCAAATCTGCTCCCTCCAAAATTGACTCCAGATATCCAAAGACAATCCACACTGAGCTTGCACATTTGCCTGTGTGTGGAGATGGGAGAAGAGAACAGAAGGCCCCTGCCCCACCAAGCCACACATAAGTGACCAATTAGGCCATATGCTTTCCTCCTCATTACCCCAAACTTGAACTAAGCAGCACCAGGCACCTGTTTCTTGTTTAAGGAGAAAGCCATGCATAGAATCAGTAGGACAGACACCATTCTGAGCATTCCAGAGCACATGCACCCAAAATTCAGCACAACAGAGAGAGAGAGAGAGAAATACCATACTGCCTTTTATTATAGCTGTAAAAATGAGCTGGCCAACAGCATACCCAGGGCTGGAAATCTTTTTGGTATGCACATACATATTTGTACATATATATTTCAGAGGCCCCTGCCACACGGCAGGGGAAAAGCCGCCAAAAAGCGTGGCTTTTAAAAGCTGCGCCAAAGTTGAAACGGTGAGGTGGGATCCCACAGATCCCCTGGCTGCGCCGCCTTTCTCCCCGGCACGATCAGATGCTGGGGAGAAAACACAGATCGGACGGCGAGCCAGCCGAACTGCGCATGTCGGAGCATGCGCAGTTCGCCTAGGAGCCGGGGACGCGCTGGCGCAAGGATGCGCTGGCGATCAGACTCCCGGTTTGCGGCGCACCATTGGGATGAACCACCTCAGTAGGTGGTTCCAACTTGAAGCGGTTTATCGCGTGGATGGGCCAGTTCGGGGACGGAAGCACTACGCTTCCCAGATGTTGTGGTGTGATCACGGCCATTTGCTCCGCCCCCAAACCGTCCCACTCCCGGCCCAAATCCCCTCGTGTGAACGGGACCAGAGAAAAGCACTGATTGATTGATGCGACTGCACCAAAGATTGGAAAATGAAAATAAGGCAGAGATAATGAAAAGATAACCTTTACTTACATTACTTTACAAGCATACTACAGCATAAATGAAAGCTTTGGCCCCTTTGTCTGACTGGATGCTCAAAGGTATAATCAAAAGTCAGAGCAGAAATACAACGAATTAGGTAAATTCAGAGCCATGGATCTGGGAGAGCCAGGTTCAAATCTCTGTTTGGTGGCCATGGAAGATTACTAGGTAACCTTGGGCCAGTTACTCTCTCAACACAGCCTATCTCACAGGTTGTGATAAAGTGGAGGAGACAAGAATGATGTTGTAGGTTACTTTAGAGTTCCACAGGAGAGAAAAGCAGGGTACAAATATCTAAATAAATAAACAGTTCTCCCACATTGCTTGCATAGAGCAGTTTCCCCCACTGACTAAAAAGCACCTTGAAAAAAGTCCTGAGAGATTAGGCAGGAGCTACATTGAAGGGGAATGTGAAGGCATTTTGTTTGCATGGCAGAACTGAGTCTCTCAACTGCCTACATGATTATTCTGTCCATTCTCTCCCACTCATGGCTGTTGGCCCATGTCTACTTGGGCAATAAAACTTTATTCCCACATAAAGGCTTTGTTTCCATCTACACAGAAGTTAAAAAAACACACCACTGTTTCAAAATATTTAAAAAATCCATTCTCCAGAGTTGTTCACATAAATTTGGCAGGCTTTGGAGTAAGAGGGCAACCCTTTCACCTATAGTACTATGAGCCACTTGAAATCCACCCCAAAAGAATGAATAAGCTGGAGAGAAGACAAAAAGTTTTCCCAGATAACATAGATTGAAACATTCTTACAAGATGGTATAACACATATTCATAATCTCTTCTGCTTAGATTTAGCATTCCACAAGATCTGAATTCTAAGAATAGAAGAGCGAATACATGAGCCATTGTTGCTGTCAAAATCAGTTACTTCAAAGTACAGACTCTAGTGTTGGACAGGAGGGAATAGAAAACGTATTAACTAAGACAAAGCTGTCTCTTGAATTTAACACGTTGACAATGCAATCCTAAACACAATTACAACCTTTTAAGACCAGTGACTTCAACAGATTTAGAAGGATGTAACTCTCCTAAGGATTGTACTCTGAAACCCATAACTGATCTTCCTCCATTACCCAGATTTTCCTTCTAACAGGTGGACTGAAAGAAAGTCTCAGCCTCAACATGTTGCTCAGCATTCTCTGCCCACCACCATTCTTATTCCTCAACCATGGAGTCTCCAGCTCTTCCAAAAGGACCTGAGACTGGGCTTCTAAATCCATTAATGTGATGGCTGATCTCATTCCTCTAAGGCAGGAAAGAGTCCCTTGGGGGTTTTATTCGTGCTTGCTTTATATTGTTTCCCCGCCTCATGACTTTGCACTCTGTCTTGGATTTAATTTTAGATCCTTGCTCAGATAGCAGGTCTACACGTCTGTAGGCACAGTGCTTCGTCTCCCACCACTCAACAGTGGTTTCCCTAAGAGTCCGCACACACAGTATTTCTCCAGCTAAAGAGGGATCTCACACAGTATTTCTCCAGCTAAAGAGGGATTCCACAATTTGAACTCAGTGGCTGGGATCCAAAGAGCCCTATCCATAAGCAGAATTCATTTCTACGCGCACACAGAGCATTGCGGATGTCTCTCTGCCATCCTTCCCCCACTACACTGAGTATAACTCCAGAGTCCTGGATGCTTAGAAGTCTAGGTTACATAAGATATGCAGATTACTATTGACTAGTATAATTTTATTCACAATATTGTAACATACTAAGAAACACAATTTTTGTACTTTTTGAAGTGTCCGTTTGCTCAATTTAGAGGACCCTTTTTTATTCCACTTTCTCATAACTACATTGTTTTATCTGTACTCACGGCAAACTTCCGAAAAGCCTGTTTTACCAATAAGTGACTGACAAAGTGCAATACATACCCAAGGCCACTGTGCAAGTTCATAGCTGGGTAAAGATCTTAACCTACAATTCTTCAATTCAGTCAACCCCTTATCTGCTGTGCTCTTTTTCCTTCACCTAACTTACCGCAGCTGCTGCTGAGTCTTTCCCCAAAGATCTGCAGTTTCCTTAGTAGACATGTGCATATCCAAATTGCACACATTGGGTTTCTGGGTGTACAGCTTGAGACCCTGTTTCACCCAGTGGCGCTGACAGCCCGGAAGGAAAGGATTTGGGATAAATATAAATCCTGGATAAAAACAGGGACAGGTGGGGAAGAGAAAAGAAAGTACAGTTAGAAATAAAATGACATGCAAACTTGCTATCAGTTGTTTTCATCAGTATGTTTGGACAAAACTTGGAATATAAAAAAGTTGCACATATTATACCAGTTTCTCAGCCAGAAAAAAAAAAAAAATGACTGGCTGAGGGAAACTGACACACAAAGAAAGTACTTTTTTTTGTCTTGCTTGATATCCAAAGACACTCACCTGGGTAATTAGCCAGCCCATAGGCTTTCCACAAGTTAATTGGCTTCAATCCTGCTCTGCAGGCATCTTGATCACTTACTGAAGAAACAACGAGGGGAGAACTGACCACCTGGCAGAAGAAAATCAGGCATCAGACACATGGGCAAAAGTTCATAAATATATGCCCCCTGTTGCCCTGACCTGGATAGCCCAGGCTAGCCTGATCCTGTCAGATCTTGGAAACTAAGCAGGATCAGCACTGACTAGTATTTGAAAGGGTGACCTCCAAGGAATACCAGGGTTATGAGGCAGAGGCAGACAATGGCAAACCACCTCTGAAATGCCTCTTGCCTTAAAAACAAGTCTAGGTCACTAGAACTTTCAGCTGCCAGACAATCTTAGGATCACCTGGCTATTTTACACACAATGCCATACAATAATTAATTAATTTGCCCCATTACACACAATGCCATACAATAATTAATTTGCCCCCTGTTCTTCACCTGGGGGCAGGCAGGGTCTTGACTGTAAAGTCACAAATAACTATGAATACCTCCAAGGCCCAGACCAATTGTAGAAGGCAACCCCCTCCTCCTCCCCAGCTCTGGTTCTCCAAGGCTGCTTTCCAAGCCTCTCCCCTGCCCTCTTCCTGAGCCTGGAAAGGGTGGGTAGCTTCCAGGCCTTGCACTGAGTTTGGAACAGGTCAAACAAGCAGTAAGAAGCCTAGGCTTTCCAAAGTCAGTGCCTGGAAGAAAGTGTGTGGGGGTTTCTCCAGATTTTCTTTTTAAATGTGCTTTTTACTAGTCAACTGATGAATGTATTTGTAAATCCATCCACCAAAATGAGTGCAATCGATCAAAAACTAATTTTGACTATGTCCTATTGAAATAAATGAGACTCAACATTATTTGTATTGTGGCCATGTCCCAAACCAATCTTTTGTGGAATGTGCCCACTGTCTCTAGCGATGCTGCCAGAAGCCTACTGGTTTGTAAGACACCAGTGTTTAGAAGCATATGACACATACAGAATTTCCTGTTTTTCAAAGGCATATAGCATTTGTTTTCATCTCAGCAGGTATCAGACAATAAAATGAAATGGCTTCTTTGGTTTTGTGGCACATTTTATTTCTTGATTCAGTAGGTTATGAGATACTGAAACCTGAAATCACAATGTTCTGACAAATAGCTCGCTTTTCTCTTCGCACCATAATTCTGACATGATATATGATAATGGCTATTAACACAGGAACTGCTAGAGCTACCACATTTTATAGCCTGTGACAGGCTAGAATCCCAATTTCAGATGGCATAATACATTAATTTCTAAATTGTTATTGAAGACAGCATTAATCCTGTCACCCTGAAAATGTCACCTGTATTGCTAATTTCTTCCTCTGTAGTTAATTTCCTGTAGCCGACAGAAGAGAATGGGATTGGGTGGGTAAAAAGCAATAGGCAAGACAGAATCTTTCTTTCTGGAACAGCTTTGGTAATAATGCAAAATTATTTTTTTCCAGAGGTTGGAAAAGAGAACACGCAACACAATACTCTAGTCTTTAGGATGCATTACAACTTTGCAGACACTGTGCTGCTATGCAGAGTTTCTCACTAGGGGTGTACACTAAATATCAAGATGCTTCATTATAGCTCAGAATTCAAAAGATCAAGACTTAGAAATTCATTTGCTACTAACAAGAAAGGAGATAATCGGAGACACTGCTGATGCCCTAAACAACTGTATATGCCAAGTGACGGGACTCTCTTTGCAGGCTTTACAGGACACTGAAAGGCACAAGAATAAAATTATCAAAGAGTCAATGCAAACCCCCCAAAACAATAGTGCTGCAGTAATACAGAACCACCATCCCTATGGAAGACATCTAGTTTCTGGCAGCTGAATCTGTGATAAGAACACCCACTAGTAGGAGGGAATCAATGAGTTTCAAAGTTCTGTTGTCATTCTTTAAAGACAAGAAACAAAGTTTTAAATTAAGTATATGTTATTTTCTATGAGCATCCAATAAATCTAGAGTTTTGGGGAAAAAACTTTTCAATTTTCACAAGGAATCTGAGATTTTATCATACCTCCCCTGTGAGGCTTTGACTCGTTTTACCCAATCCAATGCAGGAGATCCCTACACTGCGCACAGTTTAGCTACATCTGATGTGCATCTCGAAGCACATTCCCCATATGCACTGTGATGCTCGCTGAGGCACCACTGAACTGGCTACACGAGTCTTCTGACACACACAGAGATGGGCGTCTCCAACAGGAACTATCAGCTGTTATATTAACTAGTTGCTTATGTGTAGCACTTGATCAGCTTCTCCTTACATGGACCACGTTCCATGCATCTAATTATTTTTCACAAGTGAGCCAGACTGTTACAGCAACATGACTCTAATGACTAACAGGTTATTGTAACATCAGCTTGCACAGCAAGAAACCTATGATCAGATCAGATACATCTGATGAAGGAGGCTCTAGCCTACCAAAGCTCCTGCTGTAACAAGCTAGCTAGTGTTTAACAAGCCACAGGATTCTGCTGTATTATATTTGTTCCTACTTTACGCTTTCTTTTCCGGTACCACTTTTAAAAATCTATCTATCAATCTATCGTAGGGGAAATACGTAAGACTATGGGGAATTGTTTCATTTATATAATGCATTTATATATAATGCATTTATATAAATGCACAGCTTCTAAAAATTATTTTGTACAGATGGAACAAGGTTGTGTTCATGAATAGCAATACTACGTGGGGGAAGAGGCATTATTTTCCTCATAATACTCTAACCACTATACAACAGCAGCTCTCTTATGGCTGCTCACCCCTCTCTGCACTAATCAAAATATTTTCCTTATTCCACAGTACCTATAAATAAGTAAGGAGGCTCTGACAGGTAAAAAGCAGCCGTTACTTCTGTGTGGTTGCTAGGTGACATACTCTGTCAGACCTACCTCACAGGGTTGTTGTGAGGGTAAAATGGAGGACAGGAGAACAATGCAGCTCTGGGTCTCCACTGTGGTGAAACACTGGGTATGGTGTTTGCTATAAAGCTAATTTTTAATGACATTAAAAAGATTAAATCATTTGGCATATAAGCAAAGTAGCCTTTACAAAGGGTTATTAGATCTTCCACCAATGCAGGAATAGCGATAACAACCCAGTGTCTGAACTGGAAGTTCTAACTTCTGTTCCACATGTATAACTACTAAAACAGATTAATGTTCCATTGCCATGCATGTAAAGGGTAGAGGAGGGGGGATGCATCGTTTTACTATTTTAAGAACATAAGAGATGCCAATGTTGGATCAGGCCAAAGGCCCATCCAGTCCAACACTCTGTATCACGCAGTGGCCAGAAATACCAGTGCCATCAGGACGTCAACAACTAGGGCCACCAGGACATTAGAAGCCCTCCCACTGTTGACCCCCCCCCCAAGCACCAAGAAGACAGAGCATCACTTGCCCCAGAGCCCCTAGCTATACCTTGTGGCTAATAGCCACTGATGGACCTCTGCTCCATATGCTTATCTAATTCCCTTTTGAAGCTGTCCATGCTTGTAGCACCCACCACTTCCTGTGGCAGTGAATTCCATGTGTTAATCACTCTTTGGGTGAAGAAGTACTTCCTTTTATCCGTTCTAACCTGACCGCTCTGCAGTTTCATGGAGTGCCCACGAGTTCTTGTATTGTGAGAAAGGGAGAAAAGTACCTCTTTCTTTACCTGCTCTTTCCCATGCATAATCTTATAAACCTCGATCATGTCACCCCTCAGTCGTCTTTTCTCCAAGCTAAAGAGCCCTAAGCGCTTTAACCTTTCCTCATAGGGAAAGTGTTCCAACCCTTTTATCATTCGAGTTGCCCTTTTCTGCACTTTTTCCAAAGCTATAATATCCTTTTTAAGGTGTGATGACCAGAACTGCACACAGTATTCCAAATGAGGTCTCACCATTGATTTATATATTATTTTATATAAATAAAATTTGTTATTCTACTTTGGTCCTCGTATCTGTCACACAACTTTATTAAGCTGCATGCTAATTTGCTGTTCACCCCTCTACCTATATGTATGGACTGACAACTTCCATTTCACTGTATCTGAAGAAGTGTGTGTGCACATGGAAGCTTATACTTTGAATAAAACTTTGTTGGTCTTAAACGTGCTATTAGACTCAATTTTTTTTTCTGTTCTAATACACGTAATGCATCTATTTTTCTCCCTCTGATCGTCAGACACTTTAGATGTTGATTACCAGGCACAAAGAGCAGAGCCAACTTATCCACTGGGTACAGTAGGCACAGTGCCTAGGACCCACAACACTTTTAGGGGCTAACAAAAATGTTTTGATATTTTTCTTACATCAGAAAAAAATGAAATGTTTAGGGCCCATGAAAATATATTAAATTTTGCCTAAAAGTTGACATATTTAAAGTTATATCAAAAATAATTTGTAATATTGATACTGTGATGGTGGGAGAGGCCCACAAAGGCATAAGTGCCTTGTGCCCACAAAACGTTTAGGGCTCACAAAAATGTTTTTCTTAAATAAGAAAAAAAATAAACTATAGGAGTAACAATTTATTTTCATGCCATTGATATAGATACACTATTACTTTGTACTATACTGAGAAGCTTAGTGACTGTAAACTGTATGGCCAATATAGCCTCAGCCACAGGTGCCAGTTGAATGATGGCGGACAGGAGACCCACTTAGCTTCAGTGCAATTTACTTCTGGCTCCAGTATTTGGGCAAAAACTCTATGGTAGACACATCACTGTGATGTTGGCTGGGCCTGAATCTTTTTGGGGTAAGTCCCCTCCGCTGGCCAGCTGATTGACGGCAAAGCAGTGGGGTCTAGCTGCACCTGGCGGTGGAGGACCTCCGCCCTCCACCGGGGTCTAGTAACCCTAATACATGCATTGACTGAGTTGGTATAAAAATGAATATAATCCAGCCTGGATTATATTCGATTTTATACCAATACAGTTGAGAGCCAGTTTGGTGTAGTGGTTAGGAGTGCAGACTCTAATCTGGGAGAACTGGGTTTGATTCCCCATACCAACACATGCAGCTGCTGGTGTGACCTTGGGTCAGTCAAAAGTTTTTTCAGAAGGATTCCCTCAAGAGCAGTTCTGGAAAGAGCTCTCTCAGCCCCACCTACCTCACAGGGTGTCCGCTGTGGGGAGGGGAAGGGAAAGGAGATCGTAAATGTAACGATTCCATGTTTTACTGTGTGTGTGTGTGTTTAAAAGTTGGTTGGCATGGGTGTGTGGGACAATCTAGAATGCTGAAACAGGCAAGTTGTGTGATTGGTGAGTGACAGAGAGGGGAGGGGTTTGGGAATGGATGCTGTGTGGATGATTTGAAGGTCTTTGAGGTGTGACTGTTAGGTATGACAGTTGATGAAGACAGTGAGGCAGTCTGAAAAAGTATGGTATGAGAGAGAGTTAAGTTGAGTGCGGTCTCTGAGTGAAGGAGACTCAATCCCTGTGTGGGAAAGATTTGGTTCTATGTAGTAAAGGAGTTAAACAGTCTATTCATTTAAAGTCTGATGAGAGAGAAGACTTTTGTGTGTTATGGAAAGTTAAAGCATAAACAGTAACCATATATGGCATAAGGAAATATTTGTTACAGAGTGACATGCTCAGATCCCTGTCAGCCAAAGAGCAGACCTTATGTGAGACATAAAGCAAGAGTTAAGAATATTCACAGTACCAGTTACCTCGTACTACTATATTATTTACAAGTTATTTGAATAAATATACTTTATTTCAAGATACAAGTTCTGAAAGAAATCCTTTCTCAGGACCACATAGTTCCTCGAGACGCCTAGACCCAGGGCTACAATACCAACCCAGAAGAAGAAATATATTAGTATAAAGGTGTGGAAAGCCTTAAATTTTCCTGGTGGCAGCGAGATTACCCTGAGAGCAATACATAAAGAACTTTTAAAGTAAAACTAGACCTCCCCAGATAAGAGGGCGTCACAGTAACGCTCTGAGACTCCTTTGGATAGGGAAGGGCGGGGTATAAAGCCAATCCTTCTTCTTCCAAAATATAATTGTTAATATTTTTATGGAGGAAGGGGGTGGGGCCAATGAAGGCAAAAGTGCCTATGGCCCACAAAAGTCATAATGCGGCCCTGACAAAGGCTCCAAGCAGTTTGCTAGCTATATCATATGCCCCTGGCTTAGGGTTACCAGATGTCCTTTTTAGAGGATTTCTTTTTGTGGTGTCCATTGTGTTTTGTGCTCTTTTTAAACACTGATGAAAATACCCTCCTTTTGTGGTTGGAAGGTTAGAAACACTCCTAGTTATATTCCTAGTTAGTAGCAATTATCGCAGCTTAAGTACCGTAGTAGGGGTACTTACAATGAGATTTGTCATAGTGATCACTTACTTGAAGTAGCCAGTTGGGAAACGTGTCCCCTTTTTTACTTTTCAAAATATGGTACCTCTGCTGTATGAAATTGATAGCGCTAGGCATACTGGTCTGGGTGATCTTAAATTCAGCCGGTTATGTTAAATAGTTTTTACATTTGTAACTGTTTGTTGCATTTTACTGGTGTGTCCTGAACGAGTAGGAAACAATCATGACCCAAAGAAAGTCATAAACAAGGCTGGCTGTTCCATTATTCCTCGACTCGCCTTCCACACACTTCGAGCAGCTTCTTCGACAGCGCACTTCTCTCTGCAAGAAGATCGGAAATGGGACGGAGACACTTGCCCATTAACTGGCGGGAGGGGCGTGTGCGGACGTGCCTGTTACTATGGAGAACCTGGGGAGGTAAGCCCAGAGACGTGAAGCGGTAGGAAGAGCAGCTGAAGAAACGGTGCTCACCCCCCATTACCTGTCGTCCGGCGTGCTTCGAGAAGTCAATCACCCCTGTCATGTCCGAGCCTTCCCACCGGCGGTAAAAGCGAAAAAGCTGTCGGAAGGCATCCTCACCACTTTCCCGTGCGGCCACCGTCCCCGCAGCCATCTTAATTCAGGCGACCTTGCACGCGCTGAGCGGAAGCGGTCGTGCTCGTCTTCCCATTGGCGGTAGTGGCCGGGGAAAGTAGCATTTCTCCGGCTACAAGATGGCGACGGGAGGAGCTTCGCGGCGGGTGTTCGAGCTTTTCGTGGCTCGCGTTCCCTGGACTGCCTCGGCAAGTGAGTGGGGGCGGAAGAGGGGCCGTTCTCTTTCTGTGTGAAAGTTACGTGGCCCCTGCTGCCTAACCGTGCAGTCCTTTGCGGAGTTAACGCCAGTCTATTGATTTTGGTGGGTTTGGGCTGCAGTAACTGCGCATTGCACGTTGGGAAATATCGGCGTCTCCTCCGCTGGTGCTGTATTTGATGCTATGATCGTACGTCTTTTTGGGATTTTCCCACTGCATCAAAAGTGTACGAGTAACAAAAGAACCGAATGGAAGCGGGTCCCATTGCTTAGGGATGTTTAAACCATTGCAGTCTTGTTTGTGCATTTTTTATCCCACTCTTCTTCCAATGAACTGGGGCGATACACGCAGTTTTCTCTTACCCCCTCAACAACCGTGTGAGAGAGGTTAGGCTGACAGTGGCCCAGGGTCATCCAGTGCATTTGATGGCACAGTGGTGATTTGAACCTGAGTTTTCTAAAGCTGAGGCTGACACGCAAATGCCTTTACCACATTCTTCTTCCTCTCCTAACCGAGATCCCGTAAATGCTGGATCAGACCAGTGGTCTGTCTGGTTTTGTGTTCTGGTTCACACAGTAGCCAAACTGGTGTCCTAGGATGTGAAGAATGGCAGAGCTGTGACCCCTTTTGTCTCAGAGTGCTACTGCCTCTGAACACAGAGATTTCACTTAACCACCTTGGCTAAGAGGCATTGATGGACCTGCATTCCATGAATTTGTTAGTATTCTTAGCTCTGCAGTCAACCCTGTCTTTTAAAAAGTCCCTTTTTCGGTTTG